TCCCATGAGAACATAAGAAGCCTCAGCAGCTACTCATTTTTTTTGTCATTGTTACAAATATTCTATCACACAACTTTTGCCAGTTCAGTTTTTACAGGTGTACAACTTATTGACAGCACTTACAATAATTAGCTGTGCAACCCTACCCTTAACCAATGTGATTTTTCCATCACCGTAAACCGAAACTCGGTGCTCTGTGAGCAATAACATTCCCCCACACCTTTCCTCTTCCCTCACACCCCTGGTAAACCCCTAATAAACTTTGGTCACTATACATTTGCCTTTTCTTGTTTTTTTATATAAGTGAGGTCATACAGTATTTGTCTTTTTGTGGCTGACTTATTTCAAGCAGCATAATGTCTTCAAGCTCCAGCCATATTCTAGCATGTATCAAGACTTCATTTCTCCTATTTTCTGAGTAGTATTCCATTGTATGTATGTATCACACTTTGTTTATTCATTCTTCTGTTGATGGTCATTTAGGTCATTTCCACCTTTTTGCTTTTGTGAAAAGTGTTGCAATGAACATTGGTGTACAATTCTCTGTTTGAGTCTTTGCTATCAAGTCTTGTGGGTATATAAGAGTGGAATTACTGGGACACTTGTAGTTCTGTTTTTACTTGTTTGAGGAAATGCCACACTGTTTTCCACAATGGCTGTACCAGTTTGTTTTCCAACCAGCAATGATCTCCTGCCTTTTTTTGATGGTTGTAGCTACATTATCAGAGCATATATCAAGTACTTATTATGTATCCTTTATCTCTACCACTTAGCCCTCTCATTGTAGAGATCTAATTTTTTCAACTCATCTTTGTGCCCCTTTATTGAGATGAATAAAAATAGTTGAATCTTATGTGAGATATTCTAAGAATGGATGAAGATATTGAAGGAACTCTTATTTAAGTTTCCTGGAATGATTCATTCAAATAAATTCTGCTCTAATTATATCCTTTTTAAAATTAGTGACTTTTTTTCTTAGGAAATTGACTGAGTTTATTTCAAAACAATCCTAACACTCAAAGGGACTTATTCCCAGCCCTACTGCAGTAGGCAACTAATTGGACACAAAAAGTATTTCTTCAGAGAGCCGTGTCCCAAGGAACTTTCTCTGCTAATCTATCTGGGATAGGGATTAATGGCTTATTTGAATACAATGTCCAAAACGCCTCTGGAATAAAATACAAATAACACATCAGCAAGGCATCCTTGATACTATCTACTACTATCTTCCTAAACCATGTTTGTTTGTTTTTTTTGGTGCCCTTGTATCAACTGAAAAACTCACAGGCTGAAACTAATTCTTAGATATTCATCTGTGTGCTATAGTTTCTCCTTCTATGAACTATCAAAAATTCAAATACATTCTTCATAATTGCTCTTCATAGAGTGATATTTCTCAAAATAAAGTGAGTAAAAATACACTTTTCTTAAAATACGTTCTTGCATTCTTAGGGAAGGTGGATGTTTGTAGGTATTAATGCCTAATACAGCTATAAAAAGCAAAGAGAATTTCATTTCATGGAGATTTTCCTAAACTTTGAGAATACCTAGTTGAGTGGTTAGGAAGCAACTAACTTTCATGTAATAAATTAATCTCTCTCTATGTCTCTTTCACGTAAACCAATCTTAAAATTATTGAAATATTAATAAACACTATATCTGACAGATGTCAAATACCTGAATGAAGTATGAAGCCTTCATTTAATCATGTGAACTCTTTTTATGTATGGTCAAAACTTGATGGATTGATTTAGTCCATGTGTTTTATCCAGATGTTTTAGTGTCAGATAAACATAACTTTTTTCTTACAATGAACTTTTACAATGTATAAAGCTAAAAAGTGCTGTAAACATGAATAAAATACTGTGTGCGATGAAAAAGATTCATTAATAAGATATACTAGAATGAAAAAATTGAGTGGAGACGCAAAGAAGATGCCAAAATCAATGGAGTCATGGCACTTTATTAATGTGACCTTAAACAGGTATGAGTAAACGTATCCCCATGTAGCAAAATAATGATGGAAAAATCACTGAAGGTGGGAGAGTCAAAAGTCATGGGATTCAAGAGCTAAACGTAATGAAATATCATGAGAATAACATGGAAGAGATTAGAAAATTAAGGATAGAATTGTAGAGCATAAATGTACTTCAAGAGTAAATCACATTGGTGAGGTCCACCTACTGTTGTGTTTTCTAAGGAAATATCCAGAGAAATTTCTCATTTATGGAAAGATTTCAGTGTAATGAAGGAGGCTCTGGGGTGGTCACCATTCACAAACAAAACTATACTTAATAAGGCAAGTAATAAGAACAAATTGCCAACTAATACAAATAATAAAATTGCTAAAAGCGTACTTGAATGAACATTATCATTAGAGTTTGATGGAATTAATCATAGGAGAATTCATGGACTATCAAATGTAAAATTAATCTTTAAAAGATTGAAGAACAATCTATGCTAAAAAATCTAAAGATGAATATAAAGTTGTTAAAGAAATAAGCAATAGGTGTCTTACAGTGCAATTATTTAATGATGTGGGTAGAATGGAATTTTTAGAATGATTATTTTAACAACTAAATTAATTAATAGTTTTATTACATGTCCCAACTAGTACACAGAATTTTCACCTGAAAAATAATTTAGCCCAAGACATGTTTTTAAATTCAGTTTGTTCATATAACATTTTTAATAATGTCAAGGTCAAATTAGGATGTAAGGAACAACATTCATTCATGAAACATCCCTGGAGTACAGATGCTTTCTCTGGATTCTTGAAACTCTAAATTTAGTCTCATTACCTCACTACCTCATTTAGAACATTGATTGTTTTTTCATCTTTAGAGCCTCCCTACTTATTAGCTATAGGGATCAATGATTAACAATATCCTGAAATATGGATGCTAAAAAATGAGTTGATGCATATAACAATGTTTGGCACACAAAGAGTCATCAAGGATTAGCTGGAATTGATGTTTTGTTACTGTTACTGCACACTACTAGCCTAGGACAATGTGTCATCAAAGGGTGTCATTCACATGTTAGCCCTCAACAGCTTTATGTGACCCCTCACAGGGTGGCTTTGAGATTTAATGCCAAAGGGATTGTGAAAAACTGTACTTTTAGGAAGGTAACACTAGAAAGGTAATCTGTAACTCTAAAGCACTAATTGGCTAAGGAACTCAGAATTTTGTTGTTTGCATGCAATACCTTAACTTTCCATCTGAATATACTTCATTTGAAGAAATTTTATGGATTTCATGAAACACACTACTACTTAAAGAACATTATAACAAAAAAACTCATTACCAAACTAATCTTTCTCAAAGTACTACTTCACTCAGCTAGTTAATTTTGTTGTGTCTTTTAACAAAAAAAAAAAAAGAAAAATAATTTCTGGACTGGAGTAAGTCTCTGAGCCTATAGACTTTTCTCCTGACAGCAGTTCCCTGAAGTTACAAATATATTTTGTAACTATGAACAATCAGTGAGTCACTGATAACTGTTCAAACTTTTACATAAAACAGGTTCATAAGCCCACTCCACAAATGAAAATCCCTATAAAATGAATAAAGCAGCTAAAATTTTTCATGAAAGATTAAAAACACAAAGTTTGAACTCAGTAGTCTTGCAGGAAAAAATACACACAAGACAAACTCAATTTGTAATTAAGAAACTCAAGCTAAAACTGTTTTCATATCTTGCTCAGTTCCACATAGAGACAACTTAATTATTCAACTAAATAAGTGGGGCTGGATAAGACTACCTTTTTTTTTTTAACTGTGCTTTAGATGAAGGTTTACAGAACAAGTAGTTTCTCATTAAACAGTTAGTACACATATTGTTTTATAACATTGGTTAACAACCCCACAACATGTCAACACTCTCCCTTCTCGACCTTGGATTCCCTATTACGAGCTTTCCTATCCCCTCCTGCCTTCTAGTCCTTGTCCCCGGGCTGTCGTGCCCCATTAGTTTCGTTTTGTTTTATGGGGCTGTCTAATCTTTGGCTGAACGGTGAACCTTGGAAGTGACTTCATTACTGAGCTAAAAGGGTGTGTGGGGGCCATGCTCTCAGAGTTTCTCCAGTCTCTGTCAGGCCAGTAAGTCTGGTCTTTTTTTGTGAGTTAGAATCTCATTCTACATTTTTCTCCAGCTCTGTCCGGGACCCTCTGTTGTGATCCCTGTGGGTAAGACTATCCTAATGATTCTTACAGTTTCAAGATTTTTCCTCTTCTTCCTTCAGCTATGTTGCTGTTGTTGTTGTGTGCCGTCCAGTCGATTCCTCAATACTTTTACTTTGTTTGACATTGCTTTGCAGCAGTGTTTCTCTAAATGAACCATGTGATTCCTGGACCCCATGCCACATCAACTATCAGACACCCCGATATAGGAACCAATAAACCTGCATTTGTAACTGCCTCCTCAGCTGATTATTAAGCAAACCAAAGGTTGAAAATCATTAAGTTAGAGTTTACAAAACACCTTCACATTTATTTTTTGTTTGATAATCACCACAACCCCAGGAGATGGAGCCAAAGTGTGACCTTAAGTATATCCCACCTGAATTTAGAGACCCTCTCAGGAACAGATTTGAGGCATTGAACACCAATGACCAAAGACAAGAAGAGCTGTGAGATGGAATCCAAGACATCATACAAGAAGAAAGCAAAAGGTCATTAAAAGGACAAGAAAGAAAGAAGACAAATGGATGTCAGAAGAAACTCTGAAGCTTGCCCTTAAACATAGAGTAGCTAAAGCAAAAGGAAGAATTGATGAAGTAAAAAAGCTGAACAGAAGATTTCAAAGGGCCATTCGAGAAGACAAACTAAGGTATTATAATGAAATGAGCAAAGACCTTGAGTTAGAAAAACAAAAAGGGAAGAACACTTTCAGCATTTATCATACAAAGGAAGATATTCAGTGGATAATTAAAGTACTGCCTTTAATTTGTGGTGTCATGAAGGAAAGTGAGGTTACCTGGTGCCAGATCTTACGTTATTTTGTCCTCAAGTTATTGTACTCCATCTTCTATGAATGGTTGATCAATGCATAATCATGTTTTGTTATTTTCATAACTCATTGTGTCTTCCTTGCTACTTTGCTATTATAGATTAAATAAACTGAAGATAATGATGCTAATTAATGAAAGCCACCTTGAAGAATTTATCCTATTAGGTTCTGCTGATCATCCTTGGCTGGAGCTTCCTCTCTTTGTTCTTCTTCTGATAACATACCCTATGGCCATGATGTGAAACATCGTCATCATTCTGGTGTCCAAGTTAGACCCTGGGCTCCACAGACCCATGTATTTCTTCATCACCAACCTCTCCTTTTTGGACATGTGTTATACCACAAACATTGTCCCTCAGATGCTTGTTAACCTGGGAAGCTCTAAAAAGATAATCAGCTACATGGGCTGTGCAGTTCAGCTCTATTTCTTCCACATAATGGGTAGCACAGAATGTCTGCTCTTGGCTTTTATGTCCTTGGATCGCTATGTGGTCATCTGCAGGCCTCTCCACTATGCCCTCATCATGAATCAGCAAATCGGCATCCTACTAGTATCCACTGTGTGGCTGAGTGGAATGACTTATGCTGTCTCAGAGGTCACTGTTACATTACAGTTGCCACTCTGTGGTCTCAACAAACTGGATCACTTGTGTGAGATTCCTGTTCTGGTAAAGACTGCCTGTGGTGAAAAGAAAGCGCATGAGCTCATGCTCTTTGTGGTATGTACTTTCATGTTAACTGTTCCATTCTGCTTAATTCCTGCTTCTTATGCTTGTATTGGACATGCTGTGTTAAAGATTAAGTCTTCTGAGGGAAGGAAAAAGGGCATTGGGACATGTTCTTCCCACCTCATAGTAGTTTTATTATTTTATGGCCCAGGCACCAGCATGTACCTTCAGCCTCCTTCGTCCATCACAAGGGACCAACCCAAGTTCATGGCTCTCCTCTGTGGAGTGGTGACTCCTACACTCAACCCCTTCATCTACACCCTTAGAGATAAGGATATGAAAGGGACGTTAGGTTATCTGGTGAGGAGGATTTTCAGTTCCAAGTGAAAGATAGTGGACATCAAATGAAATTATTTAGCAGTTAGAGTAAATTTATTCAAAGCTCTCTAAAAAATTCATGCTTTGTCTCATAAGCCCCCAAATCTCATGTTAGATGTTTGTCTTGCAGAACGTGTCACATTTCTGATATTCTTGATGATGGTTTTAGAACAGGATGATATTCAGCCACTATTCATTTGGGCAGACACTATGTTTGTAAAAATATATTAAAATATATTTGGTCCATAATAAAATAGTAACTGTGTTTAGGAGTAAAATTAACTATTATTATAAGCTATAAATTCATTAGTTCATGCTAATTGTCATACAATTCATCAATGGGCTTCCTATCAGTGTCACCGGAGAAATAGCTTGTCCCACTCTGTGAGTTTGGTCTATGTCAAAGTGGACAGCATGGCTACACTGAACATTCATTGGGAAGCACTCTGTGCTTTAGGAGAATTGTAAGTCTCATACGTTTATCATATTCAATTAAAAAATGTGTTGCAAATTCTTATTTAACAAGTGTTGAGGGTTTTAATTTTAATTGAAGAATTTGTCATTAAATATTAAAGTGAATTGAATAAAAAGACAAAAAGCATGAATAAATTTCTTAATGTTCCTTTTCAACATCATAAGCAGGAGTCTTCTGAATCAGTGAGAGAACAAAGAAGTGATATTAATGTTGAATTACAATCTGGAAATAAGTGTGCATAAATTGGAACAGCCAGGAATGTCTTTTTAAACTGTGCAAGAATTAGTATGAGAAAGAAATCACATATATATCTGGAATGGAAAGGAACTTGATTACTTTGACACACAATATGAGTATTTTTTATTGATGTAAAATTTTGAATGTGAATTGTGCTCAAAATCTATATTATTAAGAGTTAAAAGTGCTAAAACTTGGTTCTAGGAATCACACCCAAAACTTAAAACCTTGTCATAAAAATAGTTAAATTTAAGGCAGAACCAACATAACACCCTAGACAGACAGATCATGTTGACCCTCTGCAGCAAAAACCCAAAAAACTAAGGAATATAGATACATATATCAATCCTGGAACCCTAAGCATCAAACAAAGGGATAAAGAACTAGATCAAACACCAAATGGAAGAAGAAACTGAACAAAAACAGAGAACCAGGAGAGATACAGAATGGAGGTTACCTGCCAACTAACATGGCACAGCTTTGCCATCCTGGAACAGAGCAAGAAATGACCCCTGACAGGGAGTACAGGAAGGTAATTCTATAGAGCTCCCAACAGGAGACAGAGTGCCCAGTAACCAGAGAAACACGCTTTCCCACTCTTCTGCCCTGTAAGCCAACCTCAGCACTACCTGATGGGCCATGTTGTGCTGCTCACCTAGAGACTTACTGGCCTGCCATCACTCAAGGTCTGCCCCACTCCACCTGCTGGCTTCTGTCTTGCCATTTTTTCCAGTTTCTTCCTTTTCTTTCTTCCTCCCACCTAGACCCATACCCCACCCCCACCCCTTCCTGATGGACCACACTGCACTGATTGGCTAGAGAGTTACTGGACTGCCATCATTCTGGTCTGCCCCACCCTCACCTGCCGGCTCCTACCACACCATTTTCTCCTTTTTTTTAATTTTTATTTTTTATGTTACTTCCTTTTCTTTCTCCCTCCCACCTAGTCCAGTACAGCACCTCTACCTCTTCCCACCAGGCCACTCCGTGCCACCAAAGATAGAGAGCTACTGGCCTGCCACCAGTCTGGGTCCCCCCTCCTCCACTCACCATCATCAGCTGCACCATTTTATTTTTCCCTTTCCTCTTTTTCTTTCTCCCTCCCACCTAACTCCTTACATCACCTCAGCCCCTTACACCACCTCTATCCCTTCCTTCGGGGCCATGCCACACAGTGATCACTAGAGAGCCACAGGCTCACCACCATCCCAACTCCACCCCGCCCCCACCCGCTGGCTGCTGCAGTGTGCTTTTGTTTCTTCATTTTTTTCTCTCCTCCACCCCACAGCCTATCCCTGTATGCCACCTCTACCTCTTCCCACTGAACCTTGCAGCACTGCCATGGGTAGAGACCTACTGGCCCACCACTGCCCCAGGTCCTCCCTGCCCCTATCTGTCAGCCCCCATTGACCAATTGTTTCCTTTTCTTTTCTTTCTACCTCCCACTTAGCCCCGTATGCCACCTCTACACCCAACCACCAGGCCATGCCACACCTCCGTGGTTAGAGAGCCATCAGCCCACTGCCACCCTGGGTCTGCCCCATCCCTACTCACTGGATTCTGCTGCATCATTTTTTTTATTTTTTCTTTGTATGACACCACACACACCCATTCCGCAGGCGCCCAGGTCTGCACCAAACCTGCCCACCAGCTAACCTTTTTTTTCTTTTTCTTTTCTTTATTCCCCCTACCAAGCCGCATATGGCATCCCCCTTTCCTGCTACAGCTTCCTCAGCTCAGGCCCACTGCTGCAACAGGCTAACACCATTCCTCCCCTCCCACCATTTGACCATCTGCTGAATGAAGGAAGCGAGCATGTACCAATCCCTATCCAACACCTTCTCACTGGTGAAGGGCTAGGAATGCTGTTACACCACTGGAGCAAAACCAGGAGGCAGACAGTGCCTGCCTAGTCCACCATCAGTCACCTCGGCAAACCAGTGTACATCAAAGCTGCGTTGCCCTGTTTGCTGTTGCCCTGCCTACACAGACAAAGTGTGAAGAGTCATTGTACCCATAGATGAGCAAGTAAAAAAACACACCCGGCCCTCCAGCCCTGACATAAGAAAACAAAACAAAGCAGGACAAAACAAATGAACACACAATCAATAAATATAGAAAGTAGTACCTTGGTGTCTCAGATTCCTCACACGTCTGTCATTTTCTCATACTATGGGGGTTTATATTTTGCTGTGATGCTGGAAGCTATGCCACCGGTATTCAAATACCAGCAGGGTCATCAATGGCAAACAAGTTTCAGCTGAACTTCCAGTTAGTCAGGACAGATGAGGAAGAAGGACTTGGTGGTCTACTTCTGAAAGGAATTAGCCAGTGAAAACTTATGAATAGTAGCAGAACATTGTCTGATATAGTGTCAGAAGATGAGCCCCTCAGGTTGGAAGGCACTAAAAGACGACTGGGGAAGAGCTGCCTCCTCAAAGTAGTCAACCTTAATGAAGTGAATGGAGTCAAGCTTTCAGGACCTTCATTTGCTGATGTAGACTTACTCAAAATGAGAAGAAAGAGCTGCAAACATTCATTAATAATCAGGACATGGAATGTACAAAGTATGAATCTAGGAAAATTGGAAATTGTCAAAAATGAAATGGAATGTATAAACATTGATATCCTAGGCATTAGTGAGCTGAAATGGATGGATAAAGGCCCTTTTGAATCAGAAATCATATGGCCTACTGTGCTGGGAATGACAAATTAAAGAGGAATGGTGTTGCACTCATCATCAAAAAGAACATTTCTAGATCTATCCTGAAATGCAATGCTGTCAGTGATAATATAACATATTTGCACGTACAAGGAAGACCAGCTAATGTGACTATTATTCAAATTTTTGTATCAACCATTAAGGTAAAGATGAAGAAATTGAAGACTTTTACCAACGCGTGCAGTCTGAAATTGATCAAACAAAAAATCAAGATGCATTGATAATTACTGGTGATTGGAAAGCAAAAGTTGGAAACAGAAGGAGGATATGTAGTTGGAAAATATGGCTTTAGTGATAGAAATAATGCTGGAGACCGCATGATAGAATTTTGCAAGACCAACAACTTCTTCATTGAAAATACCCTTTTTCAACAACATAAACAATGACTATACACGTGGACCTCACCAGAGGAAATATACAGGAATCAAATCAACTACATCTGTGGAGAGAGACGATGGAAAAGCTCAATGTCATCAGAACAAGGCCAGAGGCTGACTGTGGAACAGACTTTCAACTGCTCATATGCAAGTTCAAGTTGATACTGAAGAAAATTAGAACAAGTCCATGAGAGCCAAAGTACAACCTTGAGTATATTCCACCTGAATTTAGAGACCATCTCAAGAATAGATTTCACACATCCAACAGTAATGACTGAAGACCAGACAAGTTGTGGAATGACATCAAGGACATCATACATGAAGACAGGAAGAGGTCATTAAAAAGATAAGAAAGAAAGAAAAGACCAAAATGAATATGAGAAGAGACTGAAAGTTGCTCTTGAATGTCAAGTAGCTAAAGCGAAAGGAAAAATTGAAGAAGTAAAAGAGCTGAACAGAAGAGTTCAAAGGGAGGCTCAAGAAGACCAAATAAAGTATTATAATGACAAGTGCAAAGACCTGAAGTTAGAAAACCAAAAGGGGAGAACATGCTCGGCATTTCTCAATTGAGAGAACTGAAGAGAAATTCAAGCCTCGAGTGGCAATACTGAAGGATTCTACTGGGAAAATATTAAACAATGAAGGAAGCATCAAAAGAAGATGGAAGAAATACACAGAGTCACTGTACCAAAAAGAATTGGTTGACATTCATGCATTTCAGGAGACAGCGTATGATTAGGAACCTATAGTACTACAGGAAGAGGTCCAAGCTGCACTGAAGGAATTGGTGAAAAATGAGGCTTCAGGAATCGACAGAATATCAATTGAGATGTTTCAACAAATGGGTGCAATGCCAGAAGTGATTTCTCGTCTATGCCAAGAAATTTGGAAGACAGCTGCCTGGCCAACTGACTGGAAGTGATCCATATTTACACTTATTCCCAAGACAGGTGATCCAACCAAATGTGGAAATTATCAAATAATATCATTAATATTGCACACAAGTAAAATTTTGCTGAAGATCATCCAAAAGTGGTTGCAGCAGTACATTGACAGAGAACTGCCAGAAATTCAAGCCAGATTCAGAAGAGGATAAGGAACCAGGGATATCATTACTGATGTCAGATGGATCCTGGCTGAAAGCAGACAATACCAGAAAGATGTTTACCTGTGTTTTATTGACTACACAAAAGCATTC